TTAACTATAAATTTTTCTGGCTTTCTAACCATGCAACAAGGGCCGTTACAAATTCATCCACACTAGTCAATATCTTTCCTGAGGAAAAAAAGCTTGTACTAAAAATAAATTGACAAATGTCAAATCATAAACCAATGTAATATATACATCATTTGATAGATGAAAACGTTAGCTTTCTGTTGGTTATAAATAATATAATATTAAACATAAGAGAGAACTATTAACAACTCTTGAAAGAGAGGATGTGACTGGTGGGTGTGATAAGAGGGGTCTGATTTTCTATTTGATGGCTCTGGAACCAAACAAGATTGAAGGCTATAAAAACTGTTTTGTCTGGGTGATGACGATTTTATAGTGAGTAATTTACATTAAATTTCATACTTATTGGAGGGGTGGTGAATAAATTACAGAAGAGAGGGATGCCTAGAGAACAAATGTCACATTTCTCATACTAGCGGATATTCAGAATATTTTTTAATATTGTCTTATAAAATCAAGAACTTAAACTTATATACTATTAAAATATGGATTATTAGCTATACTAAGTGACATAACATAAACAAAAAGTAGTTTAATTACGTTTTTAATAAGTCACTAAAAACCTTGTGACGTGTGCAATAAACAATGCCCATTGTAAAAGCGTTAAAACTGGACTTGTTTAACAGGTCTTGGTAAGGCCACCCAAGTGTAATGCTGAGAGAAACAATCATTAACCCTTTCTATATTGGTCACAGGTGAAAGGCCATGTCATCTCATTTGTTGACTCACATTCAAAATTTTTTTTAATTCTATTTCATGAATTTATGTCAATAAGATTGCTATCAAATTATATATTATAATTCAAATTTTAGAACTATATATTATTTAATTTGTTAATTTAAAAGTAAATATTAAAAACACAGATAAACATCGATTTTTGTGTGTCATGTGGAATGTTGAATGCAGCACTGGTTCAAATTAGATGTTTATGAAGTCAAAATACTAAGTCTATAGTTTCATGTGAATTAGAAACTCAAATTACAGATATCGACAAGTATATAAGCTAGAATGTAAAATGAGAAGTTCTTTTCTTTTCTCTTTGCTAAGATATTGCTCATGTAATAAATTAAACATAATGGCACCCCGCTCACCTCCTTCCATTTTTATAAACACTTACTTCTTTATATGACATGAATAACCAATCAGAAGCTCAGAATGTCACCCTAGTGGTTTTTCTAAGCCTTTCTAATGTACCTAGCATCATTTTTTTCTTTTAAATCAAGATTTCAATAAGGTAGGTTGTGTCTTTAGTCTGCTCGAAATTTCGTTTTTTTAGAGTAAAATACATCTTAGTTCCTAAGCTTGATAAATTATAGTGGAATTCTATGGTATTGATGTAGTAATTTATGATTTTTTTTTACTTTTATTTACAAATGTATATATAAAACCTAAAAAAAATATTTTGTTTCATATCCTCCACGTCCAAAATATTTAAAGGCTTAGCAACCTACGTCAAGCAGCAACCAAGTACAAAGGTCATAACAAGAAGAGATAATTGTTTGCTTTACTTCTTTATTTACTGTTCTATGTTTTAGGAAAAATAACTCTAAGAAGTTATTTCAAAGTAGCAATAACCTCTATACATATATAATGTATAATAATTGAAATGTGACTGTATTTTACAAAATACTAGTCAAATAAAACACAGCCTAAGACAAGTTACTTTGTACAGACCAAAGGTCACCTTTATATTATTTGATACGGTAACTTGAGTGCACGTGAGCCACGTCATTGTAACTTCTGTATTGTTAGCCTAGCATGGGTGAAAGGTTAATATAATAAAAATAATAAATATATATAAATGTATAATCTTATGAAATTTAAACTATTTTGTCTAAACATTTATGTTGTCGTGTTATAATTTGTGTTCATTCTAGAATGAAAGATGCATAATTTCTGTTTATTTCCTAATTTTTATGGTGGTTATGAGATCGATCAAATTTACTGAACCCGTACAGAGATTAATTACTGAAAATACAGATAAAATATAAAGTTTTTTCTTAGAAATGTTTGATAACTATTTG